GAAACACTCAACAACTGCATCATCGCAAAGGAGTTTACGGAAGACGCACTACTGCTGCCAGATGAAAAACTACTGAAACCAAGAACCGGCTCACCCAATTGCATCGTCTGCCCGACAGCTGCGCTACATCGAACTCCGTTTGCCGAGAAGATAATCAGAGCTGAAAAATACAAGCCGCTCGACAAGGTCTACTGCGATTCCCTGATGCTCACGGCAAAAGGACTGGGAGGAGAAAAATACACCCTCACCTTCATTGACGCTGCCACAAGCTTCGTTTGGGCGGTGAACGTCAGTCACCGCTATCTTGCTTACCAGTGCTTCCACCTTAGGCTCAAGATGGCAAAGACGCAGAGCAAGGGCAAGACACTAAAGGCCTTTCAGCCTGATGGGGCCCTGGAATATCAGACATAGGACTTCAAAACCCTTCGCGCAGAGGAAGGAATCCAGAGGATGATTTCCCTTCCCTATATTCACGAGCAACAGGGACTGGCGGAGCGAACCAACAGGAGCCATGCGAGCTCTCATGAAGCAGTCAGCTGTGCCAATTAAATATTGGCCCTTTGCAATGGCGCATGCAGTTCGTCTGCACAACATTCTTTCTTCAAAGGCGCTGCCCAACAACAACTCACCCTTCAAGGCGTGGACCCACAAAAACCCTGACACACACATGCTCCGAGTCTTCGGATGCATGGTGCAGTACCGCCTTCACACTGCTCGAACTGGAAATTTTGAAGATCGTGCCCGCTAGGGCATCCACCTCGGAATCGAATCGGCATTCCACACTTGGACCATCCTCGACTTCGTCACCCACCGAGTCACGCGTTCACGTGACTGCATCTTCTATGAAAGACTGACTTTGCCACTGTACCGACAGCACCACACTGCACAGAAGACACCTGACAACAACTTGAACGGGCAGCACAGTTACGCCAACGATCAGGACGAGGTTGGCGTGGCAAAAGAACAACCTAAAGAACCAATTGAAGGGGAGGCACGCTTTGTACCCGCTACGGAGGAATTCGGCACAGCAACAATCCTCCCAGGTGCAACAAATCAACACGAAGTAGTACAGGCAGAACATAATTACGCAAGTGCAGAAATGCACTCACCTATGGAGGAAGACCTTGACCATGATTCTTCTCGCGGCACTGTTCGCGACATTCCTGGCGATGACGACGACGTGGTTGAAGTTATCAATGCAGCCGAATCCAACCTCCCCGGGCTTCGCATCATTGGCCTCACCATCGCCATCCAGGGTAACCGACAACTATTTGAGCCCACCACCGTTCGCTAGGCCCTAAGCGGACCAGATGCTGAGAAGTGGGGAGCAACCATGGCAGCAGAAGTCGCTGCACTCCAAAGGCGCGGCACCTGGAAACTAGTATCACGATGGCACGCAAGGGGAAGAAAAATCCTCACATGAAATTGAGTCTTCATGACTAAAACGCTCGCGGACGGCGCTATCGACAAATACAAAGCACGCTGGCTGGTTGGCGGCTTTGAACGAACTCAATTTGTCGACTCTGACAAGACCCATGCTCCCATCAGACAACACACCTCCGTGCGCATCCTCCTCTGTGTTGCACCCGTGAAGCAACGCCTCCTCCGCCAAATCGATGTATCCAACGCCTTCCTCTATGCGATCGTCGACGCAATTATTTACGTCGAACAACCGCACGCATTCGGAGAAGACAGGGATGAAGTATGTCTCCTCCAGAAATCCCTTTACGGGATTAAGCAAGCGCCACGTGTATGGCAGCAGTATCTCCGCACCGTGCTGATCGAGCTCGGCTTCCAACAGCTTCCCCACAATCAGGGAATGTACCTCCTCGAGTCTCACGGCAGCTTCATCCTACTCGTCGCCTACATGGATGACTTGCTCTACACCGGAGACAACGTGGAGCCGCTTGACTGCTTCGAGACCGACATCAAGCACAAGTTAAAAGTAACTGTGAATCACAATGTCACCCAGTTTCTGTGCCTCAACGTGACGCAATCGGCCAACGCAATTCACCTCTCCGCCGCAAAATATGCCGAGACCCTCCTCAGAAATTTGGCATCGCTCCCGTCAACATCACCACTCCTTTCCGCACCCCTCCACCTGATCACCAGCCTGACACCACCCCACTATCTCCTGCTGATCATCGCATCTACCAGCAGCAACTCGGGGACTACTCTTCGCCACCATCACATGCCGCTCGGACCTATCGTACATCGCCAGCCTGCTCACCCAGTACCTGCGCCGACCTGAAGGGGAGAATATGGCGGACCTATGACGTGCTCTACAATACTTCGTCTCTACACCTGACGTCGGCCTCACCTAAGAAGCGGACCTAACAGCTAATTTACAACTTACTGGTTGCGTAGATGCTGATCATGCTGGGGATGTAGAAAACAGGAGATCCCGCACAGGCTTTATCTTCAAACTTCAGCTTGCGGGAACCATCTCCTGGAACTCACAGAAGCAAGAGCTCATCGCCCTTTCGTCAGCAGAAGCAGAATTCATCGCAGCAAGTGCAGCAGTCCGCAAAGGACTCTACCTGACAGAATTCCTCTAGGAAACGAAAATGGCGATGAAAGGATCATTCAAGTTACTGTTCTTGTGCCCACACACTTTAGTGGCACGGTCATCGCACTCCCATTCAGCCTACAAGCCTGCTCAGCTTCTGGAATTTTGAGGGGAGGTTCTTCAACATGTCTTCATCAGACCCTCAAAGTTTCAGAATTTTTGAAGCAGTTAACAAGGCATGACAACATTTTAAGTTTCAAGACTTATGGCATCCCGGAAGTGTGTGTTACTCTTTTTTGGTAACACCCGAGTTCACTATTTCGGCTGCTGACTCGTCTACGGAGCTCGGATTGGTCTGCAAATCGGTCTGGCAGTCCTTCGCCACGTTGTGCAGGTGGTCACCAAGTTTCAGAACGATCCAACATCGCAGCAGCGCGTGACAGCTGTCGAAAGTCACTGTTTCGTAGTCATGGTGCACTGTTGGCAGCATTTCCCTTGCCACCCTTTCATTGTTGTCATGCCAATGGTGCAGGGACAGAGAATGAGACTCTACCGTACAGGTGGTCAAGTGGGACTCTACCACCCTCCTTTTGAGAAGTGTGGTCTTCCTGGAAGCAGCTTGCAAGAGGGTGCAAGTGGGAAGACAAGCTGACTCATGGTTGGCTTGACTCACTATTTGTAGCCTTGAGTACAGCTCTAATCATCCAAGACTGGGTGGCTTTGCTGACCTAGCTAGGACGTTTCTCATCCTTCTCTAGACTTTCTCCTCTTGGACTTAACCTTCTCTGAGTTCCCAGGATGACCCAACCCCTTAAGAGTCCCCTAGGCAATGTTGTACTCACCTCTTCCTTGCATCAATGAAACTACACGTTTTTCAGCCGAGCTTACGTTTTCGTTCACTGCGTAGTGCATACACCTCTGATAAAAGCAAGTAATATACCGTTGGAAAGCAACCACCTAAGGCTAACTGCTGTCCAAGTTTCAGCCTCGTATGTTATCGGAGCTGATCGTGACGGCGTTTTGAACAGAGGCGGTTTGAAGTCGTCAGTTTCTACTTAGGCGGTTTCATGGGCATCCGCGACCCCTAAGTGGACTCTAGACTATAACAAGTGGTATCAGAGCTGTTCTACTCTGTTCGTGGGTGAATATGGAGGCTGAAGGTTCTGCTCCAGCTGGTCCCAGTGGCAGTGGTGGCGTGGGAGGCGTTGGGGAGGCGGGAAGAGGCGTTGCAGGCGGATCTGCACCAATGGCTTCCGTTTCAACATCAGCTAAGGATGATGTGAAGGCATTCAACCTGGAGAAGTTCTCTGGGGAGGATTGGGCATCATGGAGCTTCAGGATGGAGCTCCTCTTCAACCATTATGGGCTGCTTGAAGTGATGGATGGAGAATTGAAGAGGCCTGCGAGCGAAGGAGCGACCAAGGAATGGGATCGCCGGTCCAAGGATGGATTCTTCCTTCTCTCCCAATGCCTCTCATCCAACCAGCTGCACCACATCAAGCATCTCATCAAGGAAGTTGAGTGTGGTCCTAAGGCATGGAAGATATTGAAGGATGTCCATGCCCCCAGCAGCGAAGCGATGGTGGTGGTGCTCGAGCGACAACTCCATGCGGTGAAGATCAACGAGGGTGATGCGTTCGATCAACTCCGGGACCTCTATGTGAAGCTCTCTGCTGCTGGTGTTGACTACCCTGAGAAGATCAAGTGCTACAAGGCTCTCTCCCTGCTGCCGGAGTCGTGGGGGCCCTTGGTGGTCAACCTTAATGGCATGAAGGACTCGTGGTCCCTTGAGTGGATTCGCGCGCAAGTTCTTCAAGAGGAGTTTCGGAGGAAGGAGCTGACCGCCGCTGCCGGTGAAGGTGGAGGTTCTGCCTATGGCATGAAGGGCTTCAAGGGGCGTGGCAGCAAGAAAGGCAAGGCCAAGGAAGGCTCTGGAGGGGAGCAGCATTCGGGAGGGAAGCGTGGCAACAAGGGAGGCAAGCGGTGTGGCGGCAAGTGTTGGTATTGCCATGTGGAAGGTCACCCATGGTTCAAGTGCCGCAAGCTACCTGACGGTTGGAGGCCTGGTCAGCCATCACTTGAGGGCTCCAAGGGTGTTCATGGAGCTATGGGAGAAGGCATGGGCAGTGAGGAGGGCGATGGAGGTGCTGGCGGATACGGCGGCATGTTCTACCATGTAGGAGAGGCATGCTCCGAGGACACGGTTGTGTCGGCCAGCAAGGTTGCTCTTCACCGCTCCTCCCATTGGGTCATCGACACGGGAGCCTTCATGACCATGACCAACCGAGAGGATCTACTGGATGAAGTCAGGCCATCAAAGGCAGCCACCGTCGTTTCAGCCACCGGCCAAGTTGTACCCGTGCGTGGCGAGGGGAGAGCCATGTTCATGGGTGCGGATGGGAGGCTTGTGGGGCTGAAGCGTGTTCTCCTTGTTCCTGGATTGTGTGCCAACCTCCTCTCTACCAAGGCCCTAAGTGAGGCAGGGATGAAGATGGAGATGTTGGGCACAAAGGTTTTCAAGGCAACTCTGGATGGGCGCGTGTTGTGGGACCTCCGAGGCGGCAAGGACATGCACCGGTCCATGTGGGAGATACCGGTGCTGCCATGGAAGGAGGCGGCAGTGCGCTTGGCTGCTGGAGATGTGAGAGGAGGGCGTGTTAACCACGTGGACAATGGAGGAGGTGGTGATGACGGTGATGGTGGGCTCCTTGGGCATGAAGGGGCTGCGCTACCAAGTGTAACTCCTAGCACGGGTGAGACGGATTGGCTCACCGCACACCGTCGCTTTGGCCACGTGGCGCTACCTCAGTTGCAGCAGCTGTTCAAGGAGGAAAGAGTCAAGGGGCTGAGGATAAAGGGGGAGCCCAAGGAGGTGGGATCTTGTGAGACTTGCTTGACCAGCAAGTTTTCACGGTTTCCCTTTTATTCGGTGGAGGGGAAGTCGAGTGACCCGGTGGAGCTCGTGCATGTGGATCTCGTGGGACCCATGAAGGTGAAGGGAGATAGTGGGGCCTTATATTCCATGACCATGGTGGATGACAACACAAGGCTCACCTGCAAGGGTCATCATCGAAGAGTGGCTGCCCATGGTGGAGCGAGAGAGTGGCAAGCGGGTGAAGGCGATTCGTAGCGACCGTGGTGGGGAGTTCTTGGGAGCGGAGTTCCGGAGCTGGCTGAAGCGGCACGGCACCAAGCAGCAGCTTACCACGACCTACACCCCTCAATCCAATGGCGTGGCAGAGAGAGCGAACCGGACCATCATGGAGGGCGGGAGAACGATGTTGGTAGACTCGGGTCTACCCTTACGGTTCTGGCCCCTCGCTATTCGCCATGCCACCGTCATCAAGAACCGAGTCTTAACTCACGTGGGAGGGCAGCATTGGGTCCCTATGGAGAAGTGGAGAGGCAAGAAGCCCCTGGTGGATATGCTTCGAGTCTTCGGGTGCATGGGACTCGTGCACGTCCCTAAGGAGAAGCGTGACAAGCTTCAAGCGGCGGCGGTGTGGGCTGTTCATTTGGGACTTGCACAAGGGAGCAAGGGGTGGCTCATGTGGGACCCAAAAGCCAACACCATCTTCACCACCAGAGACGCCAAGTTCATGGAGGGGCTCATGTTCAAGGAGTGGTTGGAGCGAGGGAGGAGCAAGGTCACCATTCCGCTCGGAATAGAGGTGGGAACGAACGACCCACTTCTCATTCCCATCGAGTTGTCTTCATCTTCAGAGGTAACGGAGGTGTCACATGACTTGGGAGGTGTTGAAGGGGAGGCAGCAGAGGTAGAGGGAGTGTTGCAGCAAGTAAAGGCCCTTGTAGCTGAGAGAGGTGATGCCGAGGAGGAGGTGCAGCAGCCTACACCATCCCCTACACTTCCACCAAGGCGGACAACCCAAGGGAAGCGTGGTGCTGTCCGTGGTGGAGCTAAGGAAGGTGCAGCCAAGGAGAGGCCCAAGAGAGCTGCTCACCCAAGGGATTTCCTCAAGTATGAAAGACTTGGGGGTCCCAAGGCATTGCTGGTCCAGGAGGAGGAAGATGATGAGGAGAAGGGAGCCGAGGGAGAGATGGAGCAGATTTGTTGCTTCGGTGTCAACTTACCTCATGAACCGGCTTCAATGGAGGAAGCACTTGCTGGAGATGATCGAGAGGCTTGGTTGGCTTCAAGGGAGGATGAGTTTCAGAGCCACATGGAAAATGTATGCTGTGTTGGAGGGAGTCCAGTGAGCTGGAAGTCTAAGAAGCAAGGGGAGATAGCTCACTCATCAACGGAGAGCGAGTACATGGCGTTGTTTCATGGGGTGAAGGAGGTGGTTTGGATGAGGAGGTTGCTTGAGGAGTTGGGGCAGGAGCAAGAGGGTCCTACACCTGTGTTTTGTGACAGCCAAGGAACAATTGCAATGGCTCGAAATGTTGTGCTCCATGGGCTGAACAAGCACATGCATATCAAATGGCATTGGGTGAGGAAGGAGGTGAAGAAGGGCACGGTCTCCTTGCACTACATCAACACTACCAAGCAACCTGCAGATTTCTTGACCAAGCGGCTTGCAGAGCATCAGCATTGGACCTGTGCCACCTTGTGTGGCATGTCCTTCAACTAAGGGAGGCAGCTTCAGGGAGCAGCTAAGGGGTGAATGAGAGCACGATGAGGGGGGGTTTGTTGTGCCCACACACTTTAGTGGCACGGTCATCGCACTCCCATTCAGCCTACAAGCCTGCTCAGCTTCTGGAATTTTGAGGGGAGGTTCTTCAACATGTCTTCATCAGACCCTCAAAGTTTCAGAATTTTTGAAGCAGTTAACAAGGCATGACAACATTTTAAGTTTCAAGACTTATGGCATCCCGGAAGTGTGTGTTACTCTTTTTTGGTAACACCCGAGTTCACTATTTCGGCTGCTGACTCGTCTACGGAGCTCGGATTGGTCTGCAAATCGGTCTGGCAGTCCTTTGCCGCGTTGTGCAGGTGGTCACCAAGTTTCAGAACGATCCAACATCGCAGCAGCGCGTGACAGCTGTCGAAAGTCACTGTTTCGTAGTCATGGTGCACTGTTGGCAGCATTTCCCTTGCCACCCTTTCATTGTTGTCATGCCAATGGTGCAGGGACAGAGAATGAGACTCTACCATACAAATGGTCAAGTGGGACTCTACCACCCTCCTTTTGAGAAGTGTGGTCTTCCTGGAAGCAGCTTGCAAGAGGGTGCAAGTGGGAAGACAAGCTGACTCATGGTTGGCTTGACTCACTATTGGTAGCCTTGAGTACAGCTCTGAACATCCAAGTGTGGTTGGCTTTGCTGACCTAGCTAGGACGTTTCTCATCCTTCTCTAGACTTTCTCCCCTAAGATTCAACCTTCTCTGAGTTCCCAGGATGACCCAACCCCTTAAGAGTCCCCTAGGCAATGTTGTACTCACCTCTTCCTTGCATCAATGAAACTACACGTTTTTCAGCCGAGCTTACGTTTTTGTTCACTGCGTAGTGCATACACCTCTGATAAAAGCAAGTAATATACCGTTGGAAAGCAGACACCTAAGGCTAACTGCTGTCCAAGTTTCAGCCTCGTATGTTATTGGAGCTGATCACGACGGCGTTTTGAACAGAGGCGGTTTGAAGTCGTCAGTTTCTACTTAGGCGGTTTCATGGGCATCCGCGACCCCTAAGTGGACTCTAGACTATACAACTGTGCGACAACCAGAGGGCGATCAAGATTGCAAACAAACCCCGCTTCGTCAACTGCATAAAACACATCACCCTGCGTTACTTCTTCTTCAAAGACGAAATTGACAAGGGCAAGGTCCAACTCACCTACTGTCCAACTGGCAAAATGGCATCCGACTTTCTGACAAAGAAACTGCCACGTCAGAAGTTCCAGTACTGCGCGGACCTGTGCGGAGTCATTCAAAAGAGCCATGTAGCGCACCTCGAGGAATGAAGGGGGGTGTTGGAGTAAAGAAGGGACTCGACTTAAGCATTCCCGTAGGTGCTATTGTATCGCACCCATCACTATCGAAGCAGCACTAGCGGCAGTATCGGATCAGCCCGTACAAGGGCAGGAAGGTCAACGGTTACAAAAGGTCAGTTGTCGCGACTATTCACCATCTGGACTGAACGACTCACCCGCGAAGAATGGCAATAGGTGTAACTGACCATGCAGTTACATGCAACGACTCTATAACAAAAAGAAGCGCCACTACCAGAGTCACTGTAGAATTGCCTGTAAAGCAGTTATAATAAGGGAGTGTACTGCTTAGAGTACATGTCTAGTTATATCTATTTATTGTATGTAATCTTATCTTTTAATCAATCTTGTCATTTACATTCACTATGCACAAGGTTCCTACCATTCAGACTTCCGCTACCGATTCTCTCTAAGGCAGACCTATCCTATCCAAGATTCTTACTCTAACAGTCTTGTACTATAATCTATATATATATACCTGCATGCTTACTCTTGCTAGGTTGTGATCGCTATATTGTTTGTGCTTTTGTAACTCTGCATGTGAACTGTCTTTGTGGCTGCTTGCTTGTGCTCAGACTGTGTGGTGATCTTGTGATCTGTTACAATCCTAAACAGGACTTAGCCAGGGATCGGCTCAGGGTTGTTCGCATGTATTGTTGCAGCGGAAGTGTTGACCTCAGGTCAGAGTGTATGTAAAATGACTGAGATGATGATAGCATGCATACATCGAATTTATATAGGGAATGCAGGGAATACGAAAAGACCTAGACTAGCCATATACTCTAAGGGGTACATTCCCTTATTGCAGCGAAGTTCAAATCGTGCGGCGCGGGGACCAGTTGCAAACCCGTTCCCGCTCTTCTCATTTCAAATGTTAACTGCCTGCATCGGTCTTGATCTGACGGTTGCTTGCGTCGCTTCGACTCTTAAGACGCCTCGACTTCGTACTCCGTAGAGTCGGCTCGTGCAGCATACATGAATGACTTTTCCTTAAATTTCATATCGTAACACTCCCCTTCATTCATGGGCATGCAGAGGGCTGACTCCATTAACTACTCCGGTGAGGACGGAGCAGTGTTTATACTGCTAACGTGGCAGACGCTTGGTGAGGAAGTCGGATGCCATTTCAGTGGTGGCAATATGCGAGGTCAACTTTGCCCAAGTCAATTTCGTCTTTGACAAAAAAAAAAAAGAAATAAAAACAAAAATAAACAAACAAACAAACAAACAAACAAATCGAAGCGCGATGTGCTTCGTGCGGTTCACGAACCCTGGCTTGTTCGCGATCTTGATGGCGCTCTGGTTGTCGCAGTGAAGGCGAAAGGTAGGCGAAGTTGGGGTTTTCGCTTCCTGGAGTAGCTCCTGTAGGTACAGGCCTTCCCGAACTGCTGCTGTTGCAGCGATGTACTTTGCTTCGGCCGATGACAGGGCAACCAGCTCCTGCTTCCGTGAGTTCTAGGAGATTGGTCCAGTTGGCTCTAGGCGGAAGATGAAGTCGGTTCGGGACCGTCGATTCGCAGGGTCAGCGGCATGATCTGCGTCCACGTAGCCGTTGAGGTTGAAGGAGGTTGTCGCAAGCGTAGAGTAGGAAATCAGGATGTCAGGTGTGGAGATGAAGTACTGCATGTCGTGCTCCAGGTCCAGCTGGTTCTCGGCTACTGGCTTGCGGGAGTATTGTGCGAGTTGGTTGGCGATGTACGAAAGGTCGGGTCGGCATGTGACAGAGGCGAATAGCAGGCACTCCAGTTGCTGCTGGTACAGTTGGAGTCCTGCGGGCGACAGAGGTTTGTTATCCGGTTTGTAGATGGCGCTGGGGTTGCGGTAAGGAGTGGAGAGTGGTGCGCGTGAAATGTTGAAGCGTTCCCCCAGCTGCTCTGCGTACTTGGAGGCTGACAGATGAATTGCTTCTAGCGCGTAGGTGATGTTCAGCCCCAAAAATTGTGTGACGTTGTGGTTGATGGTGATGTCAACGCGCTGCGCCAGGTTCTCTTCGAACTGGTTAAGGAGTCGGTTGCAGGTGCCGTTGTAAAGTAGGTCGTCGACGTAGACGGTCAAGAGGATGTAATTGCCTTTGAAGTGGAGGTGGTGCATCCCGGTAGTGGGGGTCACCCTTCCCACTCCTTACATCTTCACAATCACCCATCACCTCCCTAAATCACCCATCACCTCCCTAAATCACCCATCACCTCCCTCCTCTCACAGCACCACCCTGAATCCCCTCACTAATCACCTGGCCAGGTGGGTACGGAGGCAGGAAGGATGGGGACGCATTGCCCGCATTCCTCACCTGCAGTTCATACATGCTGCACTCGCTAATCACCCTCCTTTCCCCCTCAACCCTCTTTACTTCCGCGTCTTATCGGAGCACCATCCATCCCGCCTCTGTCCTCGCCTTCTTTCCCCTATCTGAGCAGTTTCCATCCGTCCTACGTCCTCTCCTTCTTTCCCCTATCGGAGCACCTTCCGTCTCTCCTCTGTCCTCGCCTTTCTTCCCCTATCGGAGCACCTTCCGTCTCTCCTCTGTCCTCGCCTTTCTTCCCCTATCGGAGCACCTTCCGTCCCTCCTCTGTCCTCGCCTTTCTTCCCCTATCGGAGCACCTTCCGTCCCTCCTCTGTCCTCGCCTGCTTTCCCCTATCGGAGCATCTTCCGTCCCCCCTACTCCCTATCACATCATTGCTTTCCCTCGTGCCAGCACGTCCCTTCCCGCATTGCTTCCCCCTCTGTCAGGCCCTCCCTTAGCACCTCTCTCGGTCCCCCCGCACCGCATCTCCCTTCCCCCTCACTAAGCAAGTCTCTCGTTGGGAAAGGACCTCATCCCCCTTCCCTCTCTCACAGCACCTCCTTAGCCACTCTCATCGCAACTACCACCCCCCCCCCCCCCCCCCCCCCCCGAACTTACCTTTCTTCCCCTTCATGCTTACCCCCCACCCTTCCCCCTCTCACAGCACCTCCCTTCCCCCCCTCACAGCACCTCCATTCCCCCTCTCACAGCACCTCCCTTCCCCCCCTCACAGCACCTCCCTTCCCCCCCTCACAGCACCACCCTTCCCCCCCTCACAGCACCTCCCTTCCCCCCCTCACAGCACCTCCCTTCCCCCTCTCACAGCACCTCCCTTCCCCCTCTCACAGCACCTCCCTTCCCCCTCTCACAGCACCTCCCTTCCCCCCTCACAGCACCTCCCTTCCCCCCCTCACAGCACCTCCCTTCCCCCCCTCACAGCACCTCCCTTCCCCCTCTCACAGCACCTCCCTTCCCCCTCTCACAGCACCTCCCTTCCCCCCCTCACAGCACCTCCCTTCCCCCCCTCACAGCACCTCCCTTCCCCCTCTCACAGCACCTCCCTTCCCCCCCTCACAGCACCTCCCTTCCCCCCCTCACAGCACCTCCCTTCCCCCCCTCACAGCACCTCCCTTCCCCCTCTCACAGCACCTCCCTTCCCCCCCTCACAGCACCTCCCTTCCCCCCCTCACAGCACCTCCCTTCCCCCCCTCACAGCACCTCCCTTCCCCCTCTCACAGCACCTCCCTTCCCCCTCTCACAGCACCTCCCTTCCCCCCCTCACAGCACCTCCCTTCCCCCTCTCACTGCACCTCCCTTCCCCCTCTCACAGCACCTCCCTTCCCCCCCTCACAGCACCATCCTTACCCCCTCTCAGCACCCTGCCATGTTTTATTTCCCCCTCTCACAACACATTCATACCCCCTCTCATCACACCTAGGATCACCCCTATGACCTTACCACAGTTCACCCTTCCCTCGTCTCTCTTCCACCTCTCCCAGCACAACCCGTCCCACCCCCTATGCCACTATCTTCACCATCCCCCATCCCCTCCCTTCCCCTTCCCACAGCGCCACCCTAAACCCTATGTTCTCATCCCAGACCCCCCTCCCTAAGCACCCTTTGTTACCCTCTCACCTCATTTCCCTTCCCCCTGCAGCATATAACTAAGCACCACCCTTCCCGCCTCCCTTCCCCCTCTAACAGCACCTCCTCACCCTTCCAAGTGTTCCCTTCCACCCGGCCCGGACAGGGTACTATTTTAGTTTAGTACTTATGGGTTGGGGGAGGATGCTTTGGTTAAACTGTCATGTCTTAGACATACTACTATCATTTTCCACCTGGTACTTTTAATAAAGTGTGCCCACACATCACTTCTCCCTCCCTAGGGACATATCTACCAGGCGCCCCTCAACTCCGTTCCCCTTTCTTCCAGCACTAATCTTGCCCCTCTGACCGCCCCCCCCTTCTCACTCTCCCATCACCTCCTAACCCCCTGCCTGCACCTTCTTTTTCCCGCTACACGCACCTCTATTCCCCCCTCGGACCCCACCTTCCTATCCCCCTCCCGTGTTTGCCTACATTCCCGATAGGACATCCCCTGTTTGCCTACATTCCCGATAGGACATCATCTCCCTTCCCCCTACCTATGTACTTATCCCTCCCCACTGATCTCACCTCATTTCCCCTTCTGACAGCACCTATTGCCCCCCTCCCAGCACCTTCTCTCCCGTCTCTCAACACCTCCCTTACCCTTCTGATCTCACCTTCATTTCCCCCTCCCTTCACCTCTCATCCCCCCTCTGACCTCACCTCCCTTCCCCTTTTCCTCACATATCTTCCACCACTCACCTCTCCTCCCTTCCCCCTCTCAACTCACGTCCCTCCCCCCTCTTTAAGCACGTATCTTCACCCTACCTGCTCACCTACCTCACCCTTCTCGCAGCGACTCCCTCTTTTGGAGGGGAAAATTTCGAGAAATAAAGGCATGAATGAGAGGGAGGTGAGGGGAAATTGATGAAAGGCAAAAGGGGACTGAGAGGGAGCAGAGAGGGAAATCATGGGAAGGGAAGGAGGGAATGAGAGGGAGCAGTGGAAACAAAAGAATGAGATTTATCACCTCACTTCCCCACACTAAGCACCTCTCTACTCCGGGCACCTCAAATCCCTTCCCCCTCCCAACACACTTATCTTGCCCCTCCGACCGCATCCCCCTTCCCACTATCACATCACCTCCTAAACCCCTGCCAGCAACTTCTTGCCCCTCTCCACGCACCTCCATTCCCCCCTCTGGCCTCACCTTCCTTTCACCCTCCCCTCACATACATTCCCCATATGACATCACATCGCCACCCCCTCCCAAAGCACTTATCATCCCCCACTGACCTCATCTCCCGTCTCCCTCCCACAACACCTCTTGGCCCCCTCCCAGCACCTTCTCTGCCGTCTCTCAGCACCTCCCTTCCCCCCTCTAAACTCGCTTTCATTTCCCCCTCCCCTCAACTACCATCCACCCTCTGACATTACCTCCCTTGTCCCTTGCCTCACATATCTTACACCACTCACCTCACCTCCCTCCCCCCCTCCATCAGCACGTTTCTTCCCCTTCCCTGCTCTCCTACCTCCCACTTCGCACTACACCTCCCTTCCCCCTCTCACCTCACCTCCCAGCCACCTCAGACCCCACCTCCCTTTTCCCTCCCTAAGCACCTCTCCTCCCCATCTCACCTCACCCAGTCGTCCCCTCTGCCAGCACCTCCCCTCCCCCCCTCACAGCACATCCCTTCCCCCCCTCACAGCACCTCCCTTCCCCCCCTCACAGCACCTCCCTTCCCCCTCCCACAGACCCTCCCTTCAAACCCTCACAGCATGTCCCTTCCCACCTTGACCGCACGCGCACGTCCCCATCTGCCTGACAGTCGCCCCATCACATCATGTATTTCCGCCCCTGCCAGCACCTCCCTCCCTAGACCCTTTACGTGAGCCTCTCTTCCTCCTCCGAACTCACGTTCCTCCCCCCACCCCGCCCCCACCTACCTTCACCGTCTGTCCTCTCATCCCTTCACCCTTTCTCAGCACCTCCCTTCCCCCTCTATAATACCGCTCTTCCCCATCTCACATAGCTGCATTGCCCCAGCCTGCACCTCCACTCCGGCCCCTCTCTTTAGTGTTCAGAGGTTCTGTGAGGGGGCTACCCTGGTACTGTCATGACCTGGACATACTATTGTCAACTTCACCCGTTGTGTTTGAAATAACGTATTCCCTGACCCCGCTTCCCCCACGCCGGGCACCTCAAATCCCTTTCCCCTTCCCACGCACTTATGTGGCCCCTCTGTCCCTCCCCACCTTGCCACTCTCACATCACCTCCTAAACCACTTGCCAGAACCTTCTTTCCCCTCTCCACTCACCTTCATTTCCCCCACTGGCCTCACCTCTCTTCCCCCTCCCAGTGCACTTATCTTTCCCCACTGACCTACCCTCACTTCCCCCTCCCAGAGCGTTTATCTTCATAATCTCACAGCACTCCCCAAGAAACCCTCACAGCACCTCCTTTTCCCCTATCAAGGGGAATCCATTCCCCGTCTTACAGCACCTCCCTTGGCCTCTCATTCCACCATGTAGTATCGTTTCTCCATATGGCATTCCACCATATACCGTCGTTTCTCCATATGGCATTCCGCCATCTACCATCGTTTTGCCTCTCATTCCGCCATATACCATCGTTTCGCCTCTCTTTCCGCCACGTTACCATCGTTTCGCCCCTCATTCCGCCATATACCATCGTTTCGCCTCTCATTCCGCCATCTACCATCGTTTCGCCTCTCATTCCGCCATCTACCATCGATGGGGGGCTCATTCCGCCACCTGCCATCATCTCGCTACATCATTCCGCCATCTACCATCATGTCGCATCACATTCCGCCATCTACCATCGTTTCTCATCTCATCCGCCATCTACCATCATTTAGCCTCTCATTCCGCCATCTACCATCAGTTCCCCGCTCATTCCGCCATCTACCATCATTCTGCCTCTCATTCCACCATCGTCCATCATTTCGCCGCTCATTCCGCCATCTACCATCGTCTCGCCTCTCATTCCGCCATTTACCACCGTTTCGTCTCTCGTTCCGACGACTACCACCAGTAGGCATCTCAGACCGCCCACAGTTTAGCATCTCTATCTGCCTTATACCGCCATTTCGGGCCTACGTGACAATCCGTTACTAATTCCGCCATATACCGCCGTTACGCCAACACTTCTGCCGTCTAACCCCAAAGCCGTCTACCATTCCGCTCTCTACCGCGATTCCGTGGTGCTCGTGTGCGGCTCAAATATCCAGCATATCGTCGAGCTCACCTACGGAAGGCAGTTGAAGAATGTGATACGAGTAGGATCCTGGGAGGTCCGCGACCGCAGTCCCTAACAAGGATTGGCCTTGCTGAGGGCAGTGGCTTTTTCTAGATTGTGACGTGTGTAGGCTGGAGAATCACGGTGCGGAATGTAGGGGGAGTGTTGAAGAGGGCGTCTTAGTGGAGCAGGTTGTCTACGACGCGAGTAAAATACTTGGAGGTGTGGGAACCCTGCTCCTTGTGGGTGTGGTAGAGTTGTCTGTCTCATGTTTTCGACCCCTGTAAAATGCTTGGTGCCTGAGGCGAGAGATGGCGACACTCTGTTGTCGCACCATGTTGTTTCGTCGCACAGGTGTGGCTTCAATCGTGGTTTGGCGACTGGATTACCCCATGTCGTGTGTACTGTACATTTGGTTTGCAGGGCCAACCAACTCCCAACCAACCTTCCCAACCCTAACCGTTGTTTGGGGGTGTTGTGCGACTAAACGGGTTGTTACCAGGTTCCAAGCGTTTAACACATGGTTGGCTCGCTAAAATATGAGACGCGAGCTTTAAGAAATCCGCGCGCAATCCAGTCGATGGGCACCAATCTGGAGTCAGGGATGTGCGGGGGGGCTCTCAAGCAGCGGGACTGGAAGATTCCAGTCCTGGTCGTTATCGTCATTGTAGTCGTGGCCGGGGATAAGGGGATTATTATCTGTGAATGCCCCGATCGGATGTGGTGCTGGTTCGGGTGATGGAGTGCGTTCGTGGCGACGACGGGTTCCCAGTGGATGGCGCATTGCCATGTTGCTGATGGCGTTGTGTCGTGTGGGCTGAAAGCCCTGGGCTTGACGTGTATCATTTATTGCGTCTTGTTGGCCGGTCCAAGTGCTCGGATTGAACTGGCAAGGGCTGGCGTTGCAGTGTCAGCCGAGGGTCCATTGTAGCGCCGTCAAAATAGTTAAAAAATATGCATGTTTTGCAATAGCAACTCCAGCTCAAAGCTCCAAGTGTAGAAAACTCTGGCGTCAAACATGGTACTTGTCTTTTTTTTTTATTTGTTCAAGAAACACGATTGAGCTGAGAGAATCACGTCATCACTTGGGAGTGGGACTTTGGGGGTTGAAACATTTGTGTTGAGGGAGAAGGTTTGCGGGGCGGTATTACGGCCTGTCGTGGTCGGTTGAGTCGGTTGGGAGGAGGTTCCTGCATCGCCATTCCGCAACGTCTGCAGCCCTTGCTCCAGGGCTGAAAGACGCTGAAGCAACCGTTCAAGTGCAATGGAGCTGATCGTCGTCGTCGCTTCGAATGTCGCAATGGGGTTGGTTGGTAAGTCAGAGTTAATATTTGGTGACTCAATAATCATGATGAAAAACATACAAGGTAAATATGTGATATAGGGAATACAAAATGACCTAGACTAGCCATGTACTCTAAGGAGTACAATCCCCTATTACAGCGAGAGTCAACCGTGCGATGCGGTAATGTGAGAGTATGGCGGCTCCGCCTACATAAACTTACCTCTATCTACTGTCTCATGCATTATCTTGATTAGCCTTAGTTTTTTATGCATGCTTTTGCTTGATTTCCTAGGAAGCTGAAGTGTTACGAGCGACAACGT